GCCTGTATCCCAGTTCTGTATGCACAAATAAATAAATCTTTAAAGAAAAAATGAGAATTAAAATATCAACTAACTGGCTTGGCATAGATGGTGATAGAGGAGTATAGCAAAACTGGAAAGGAGGCTTCACAAGACCAGAAGACTGGTTCACACAATGCCAAGAGCTGGGGGTAAAAGAGGTTAACCTAGCCATTAACTCAGCCACAGGAACTCAGATCCTTTGGCAGCCAATACCCAAGCTATAGGCAGTGTCAGGAACACAGACCTGAAGGTAAAAGATATTGAGATCTAGGGCCATTGTAGAAATTTGGCCCCCAGGGCCCTCCCTGGAGGCACAAGGGGTTAAAGCATAGTACTGCAAGCTAGCAGCAGCCCCTTGAGTAGTTCAATCCCCAGCCCCAGGTGATCCTCACTGTGCAGCAGACCTCTCCTTGTAACAGGGTGGTCCCCAGGAAAAGGAGAAGTTCCAGGTTCCCTGCCCCACCCAGGAGGATGGTGGAGCTGAGCAAAGAGAAGGATCTGGGGGAAGAAGGAAGCAGGATGGAGAGCCAGAAGGAGACCTGAGGGAAGCACATGGAGCAGGGAGACATGTGAAGAAGTGCTTGTTTCTTGGCCCTGGACTGGTTGAAAGAGATGTGGGTGAGAGACCCAAGGGGAGGTTAACTATGGCAGTGTTTATCTTAATTTTGATTTTGCTCTTTTCCTCCCAGACTTGTCTGGCCATTTCTGACCCTTTTCTATGGGCCCTGTTAAGGTCCTAAATCAACCAGTTGCCTCCAGCGACAAAGGACAGGACCAGTGATGCACAAGCAAGCGGAGTTAATTGAGCCAGCTAGCTGGGGTCAAGCTTTCTTGCAGGCCCGCAGGCCACACAAGGGGAGCAAGACCCAGACCCGAGGGATAGCAGGGAATATATAGGCCCCATTAACCGTTACATGGGTCATAGCCCACATCACAGTTCAACCACACAAGGGCGTGTTTATCAAAATCCAATTTCAATGTGTTTATCATAATCCAATTTCGACCTGTCTCAGGGATTAACACTAGGGTGTGGTATCTGCCTGCATATCTGTTTGGGCTTAGGGGAGTGGTCACACAGACTCAAAAGGAAGGTGGAGGGGCGGAATTGCTGGTTGGGCCCAACAGCCCCACCAGAAAGTACTTTAGACTTGTGTTGGGCTTTCAGGCCTTGCTTTGGGCCATTCCCTTTGGATAGACTTTTACCTACAAGGGGACTCCAGGTACCTTTGGTCGTTTGATTTAGAAACTATATTCTTTATGTTTGCTGTATTTCACACTGATTGTATTAAAGTTCCTTTCCATTAAAGGGCTCATATTGTTACAGGACAGCAAATCTGTTTCAGGACAGGGAGAGAGAGGCACCCCAATGTGAATTGGGTTGCCTGTCTGTGGGTTCTGCCATACGCTGTAACAAGACAAAACATATAAAACTTTAATACAGCGAATGTACAATACAGAAGACAAAGAATGTAATGTCTAAATCAAACACCTTAAGTTACTCATCCCCTCGTGGGCAAAAGTCAACCCAAAAGGGATTGGCCCAAAGCAAGGCCTGAAAGCCCACAAGACTAAAGCACCTTCTGGCCGGGACCCATCGAAAAGGGTCAGAAATGCCCAGACAAATCTGGGAGGAAAAGAGCAAAATCAAAATCAATATAAACACTGCCATAGTCACCTCCCTACAGGTATCTCACCCACATCCAGGGGTATCTCACATACAGGTATCTCACCCAGTCCAGGGTCAGGAAACAAGCACGGTTTCTTTTTCACATGCTTGCTGCTCCATGCAGCTTCCTCAGGCCTCCTTCTTCTTCTCCATCCAGCTTTTTTTCTCTTCTCTGCTCAGCTCCACCCTCCTGGGTGGGGCAAGGAATCTGGAACTTCCCCTTTTCCTAGGGACCACCCTGTTACAATATATTTTGTCTTGATGTGGCAGGCATCAGAATCTATTTAAAGCGGGCAGGTTTGGAGGTTCAGGGATGCCCCGCTCTCACTAACCAAATGACTAACTGAATGCACAGAACAAGTAGGCTGGACCTCCAATGCGGATATTTTATAAGTTTTCCAGTGGACACTGATGGAGGAAAGATTAGAAAATCCAAAGGAGGCATCACAAGACTGACTAACAAGGAGTTGGGGGTAGAAGGCGATTGACATTGACATTAACGCAACAAGGGAACTAAGATCCTTAGGTGCCAGTGCCTACATTACAAAGCCTAAGATCCAAGCAGGTATCAGACTACTGTAAGGACTATCTAGAGCACAGACCCAAAGGTAAAGATTCAGAGATTGAGCCCATTGTGGAACTCCTGTCCCTTTCAGATTCTACATAGTTTATTCAAAATCAACAAAGGCCCCCCACTCCCACCCCCACAGTAAAGCCCTGAACTATGAAGCTACCAGCAGCTACTACAGCATGAATTCTACTCCCCCACCTAGGAGGTGACCCCACGGCAGACCTTCCTGTCTCAATGGCTGCTCCTCTGGGCAGTGTATTTCAATCACTGCCTGTTCTGCTCCCCACGCTGTCTCTGGTGAGCCCTCTTGAAGCATTGGGCAAGGGGACAGCTCTTAGGGTCAGAATAGATAGAAAAAGCCTCAGAAAAGTCAAGGGAGGCTCTGGAGCTAAGGGCAACAAATTACAAAGGGGACTAATCAAGCACCCCAGGACTAGGGGCAAAAGGACCTTCTGGAACAAGGACAATAAAGAAAAGGGACTCTAAGATAAGGGCTGGGACACAAAGACTTAGTTCTGGACACAAAGACATTAAGACAAATGAGTGAGACCACTGAGAACTAACCATTCACAAAGAGACTGGTGGTGCTTTAGAATAGTCAGGGAAGAGGTTTAGGTTCCCTGAGACACTACTCAACCTCAGTTTCCTTGCTCCTCCCTGGCTGGTTCCAAATGTGCCTCTTCACTTGCTTGCCTGAGGGACTGCAAATTTCCTGCTGCATCATAGTGAGACACTAACCTCCTGTGGTCTAGTTGGCCGGCCTCGGTGCTGCTGCTGCAGCCTGAGATCATCAGTTCCTGGCTGGGAGACTAGGCCTGAAAACCTGACATTTTTGGTATCATATCTACGAAAAGTTAAAAGGTATAGAAAAAGGCACTAGCATATTTTAGATATTCTGTCCATAACTTAAAACATAAAATTGTGAGAAATCTGAGTTTATATTGTGATAGTAGCTATTCCTAAGGCAACAGAAGGACTTTTATGTTTTTTAAAAAGGCAGACAAGCCTCTGAAGTCCTCCTCAAAACAAAAAGTTGGTCTATTTCCCAGCAACCAAGATAAAGGTTTTTCAGATTTTTATTATATAAAGTTTACCCTCCTTGGTGGCACAAGGGGTTAAAGCACAGCACTATGAAGCTTTCCACAGCCACTGCAGCTGGAGTTCAATCACTGGCCCTGGAGGTGACCCACATGGCACAGCAGACCTCCCCTGTCTCACCTGCTGCTCCCCTCAGCAGTGTATTTCAGTCAATCTGCCTATTCTGCTTCCCACTCTGTCTCTGGTGAATCCTCTCACCCCCCAAACCTCTGGCTTGCATGCATAAACACATAAATAAATCTTTTCTAAAAAATAAATAAAGCTATAATACCTTCATCTAGTTCAGGATTTTGCAATCTTAGTGTTACTGACATTTTAGGCTCACTGGCTCTTGGTTGCGAGGTGCTGTGTGATTTTAAGTAGCACTGCTGGCATTGCTCAATAAGATGCTAAAAGGAGCAAGTTCTCCAGTCCCAACAATCAAAAATCTTTTCTGACATTTCCAAATGTTCCATGAAGGTTAAACTCATCCCTAATGGCAAACTACTAAATTCACCAAACATAATTTTTACATTTTCATAATCTTACGTGTTTTGTGGAGACAGCTATAATGTGTGTAGATCCAGTAGATCTACTTAGGCTTTTCAGTGGAAAATATAGCCAATTTTTATACAGATTACTGGAAAATAATAGTGCTTTTCATATTAAGGCAAGACCTATAGTTTCAAATCAAAATCATAAAACCTGCCTAATTTGGTGAAGCATCTGAAATTTTCTACATTTGTGTATGTACCAAATTATTAAAACAAGGTCTTAGCATTTTTCTTCTTGTTATTTGATCACATATATATGGCTTTACTTCCTGTATTTTCACAACAAAGGCCATTAACTTAAAGAATGGCTAGTAACATTTCCCACTCTCCTCTGTAGCAAAATAGTTTCTTTAAAAACTAGCTAATTACCCACTGGACATTTTTACTTTATTTCATTAAATTTACTTGTTCTTTTTTATTTTAAATTTATGCAATTTTTTTCTTAGTCTAAGTCTATACGATCAAAATAGGAGTTCCATTAAATTTAAGGGACTATCCAATTTAATTAATTACTTATGAAAAGTAATAAAGGCATAGAAGTCTATCAAACACATTTAGAAAATGTTTTAGGCTATGTAAAATAGAATAATTTTATACAGCTCTAGGTCAAGCTAGGGAACTCTGAAGGACTTTAGTGCTGGATTTCTGCATATTTCAGTACTCCTATGTGTATATTTTGTCTTGTTTGTTTCTAACACAAAGTTCTTTTTCATGTCTTGATCTGGTTCATTGTGTAGCTTTTACTTGCTTTTAAGGAAATGAGAAAGAAAAATCAGGCTTCTTGGGTTTCTGAAGGAAACATGAAGCTCCCAACAAGCCAGAAATAATCACCATTCAATCTGCAGTCTCATTCCATCACACACTCATTTGATATAACTTAACAACAAAAAAAGGAAAATCCTAAATTCTTAAATCTTTAAAAACACAGAAATTAATTTGCATTAAAAAAATCTCTGCATTGACGACCAACAAGCATATGAAAAAATGTTCAACATCACTTCTAATAAGGGAGATGCAAACTAAAACCACAATGAGATACCACCTCACAACAGTGAGAATGGTATATCTTAAAACAACTAGCAACAACAAATGTTGGTGAGGATGTGGAGAAAAAGGAACTCACCTGCCCTGCTGGTAGGAATGCAAACTCGTACAACCAGTATGGAAAACTGTGTGGAGGTTTCTCAAACTGCTAAAAATGGAACTTCCATATGACTCATCAATCCCACTCCTAGTTATCTACCCAAAAGACACAAAAACACCGATTCAAAAATACACCTGCACCCCCATGTTTATTGCTGCTTTATTTATAGTAGGAAAGACATGGAATCAACCCAAAAATGGTCTCCTTGTCTATGTCTAGAAAATACATGAGGTTGGAGGGAATGTGATGCCCAAAAGTGGATGACTGGATTAAAAAGATGTGGTACATATACACAATGGAATATTACTCAGCAATCAAAAAAGATAAACACATGCCTTTTGCAGCAACATGGATGGAGCTGGAAGGGATCATGCTTAGTGAAATAAGCCAGAAAGGAAAAAGAAAAATACCACATGGTTTCACTCATAGTAGGAGCATAAAGGACCAAGGGGAAATAATAATAATAATGAACAACTATATACCAGAGACATTTTAAGGGGATAAACGGGAATGGGATCAAAAATGGTGGGGGGAGGGAAGTGCACTGGACTATGGTGATGGCACATGGGTGATTTGGTGATGGGAAGCCCATGGGGATTACAACTGAGATGGAAAAAAGCACAAAATGATGTAAAAATAAACTATCATAATAATAATAAAAGAAAGTGCACAGATAGAGCTCAGAGTAATAATTGTTGACAAGTAAAACTGCTTGGCACCAAACACATTCAGTGTCAAGAAAATATTCTGCCCTGGGAATTCTGTTCTATTATAATAAAATAAAATGAAAAGGGAAAAAAATCTCTGCATTATCTCCTACTTGATGTTTAATTTGTATGTTGAATTGGAACTTGTCAGTAGTACATATAAATAATCAATAATTCTGCCCAATTAATTTCCAGAAGTTGCAAGACAGTAAAGTAGATGACAGCTGCAAGCACAGTATTACAATTTAAACAGACCATTTGTAAAAGCTTACTAATTACCTGTGTGACATTGGCCAAGCAATGTCTTTAAGCCTCATCTTTCTTAGTTGTGCATCTGGAATCATGAGTTGGTCCCTCTATTTACACACTCAGAGAGAACTAGCAAGCTTAATCTTACAATTTCATCCATGAATAAAAAAGAACAAAATTCACCAAATTGTAGTAGCTTTGGGAGGAGGGGAGATCAGAGACACAAAAAATGGTAAGGATTTGCTTACCAGGATAAACAAACAAAATAAAAAACAGCCCTGCTCTTGAATGTGGTGTTGTTTTTGTTTTTGAAACTCATAGCTTATGTAAGTAAGATAAACAATAAGGAGGACTGTATCTCTGGCAGAAGGAACACCACACCTTGTGAAGGCTGCCATATGAATAACCTTTTAATCCTACAGGTGATACCAGTTATATGTTTAAACTTGGTGTAATAATAGTAGAATAAAATACTAGTAGATATTTAGAAGCCTGAAATTCATTCTTGGGGTCCATCTGCCATAGGAGGCAAGTACCCACATTTATTTGTCTGTATAAATAATTTGCATACAAGAAGATAGACAGGCTAAAAAGATAATAATGAGAGCTAAGGTCAATTTAAGTCTTTCCAAGAGTTCTTAGTTAAGGGATCAAAAATATTCCCATAGGACATATTGCTATGATAATATATTTTAAATTACATTATTCAGAAGTTCGTATAGTTAGATGCTATGAACCAATTTATCTTCTTTTATTCTGGGCCAGATGAGAATCCATTTCACAGAACTAGGAACTTCCTAAATTTCCTAGTAAATTTTTAAAGTAGATGAAATTAAACAATAACTACATTATAATAATCCTTTCTGGGAGTAGAGCTGCTACTACAAGTTTCAGGAGTTTCATAAATAATTTTTCAACAGAGACAGTAGAAATGTACTGTATAATAAATTCAGTGCATGTTGAATTTTATTATTCAACTCCCATAGATATACTCTTCTTTAAAGAATAAATTTCTTTATGGCCTCCCTGGTAGCTTAAGAGGCTTAGTCTCAGCACTATCAAGCTGTCTGCAGCATGAACTGATCCCAGCCAGGAGCTGACCCAAAGCACAGCAGACATCTCCTGTCTTGCCTGCTGCTCCCCTCAGCAGTGTAATTCAGTAGCTCTATCTATTCTGCTCCTTACTCAGCTTCCCATCTCCCCTCCCCACACACCCCACACTGCACATCTGGCCTATACCCCAGTTCTGGTATGCATAAATAAATAAATCTTAAAAAAAAAACCCTCTTGTAATTATGCAATCAAACCCAGTTAACCAGAGGGGTTAAAAAGTGGGTAAATGATCAATATAAAATTTATTAAAGTCCAAATAAAAACTTATAAATAAATTTCTTAGGTTATTCTCACTATTATAAAATCTCATTGTCGCAGCCCAGGGATTATGAGACTGATAGAGGAGAGAGGGAGGTTAGGAAGTTTCCATATTATAGATGTTTTAGAAAGCAGTGTTCATTACCTAATCTGTTATAATCACCATCCCTGTGTGGTCTTGTCCATAAAACTTATTTGTTGATAAATGATTATAATTCAAGAATACTTTTAAACAATTAAAAAGTTAAGTATTTTCCATTTATCTTTTATGTACATTGTTTATTTGTTTAGTAGAACAAACTAAAAACTTCACCATCTCCTAGACTGTAATTAGCACTTAAGTACTTTTGAGTTTGTCCTTTTTGTATGCTGAATAATATTCCACTGCATGTATACACACCACAACTTCTCAATCCAGTCACAGTGGAATATTACTCAGCAATCAAAAAAGATAAATTGATGACATTCGTGGCAACATGGATGGAGCTGGAGGGCATCATGCTTAGTGAAATAAGTCAGACAGATAAATACCAGATGGTTTTACTCATAGCAGGAGTGCAAGGGATCAGAAAAAAAAGTAATTGTAATAAAGTAAAAACTAGAATCAAGAAATAACTATAAACCAGAAACATTCTATGGGGGGGGGGAGGAAAGGGGAGAAGGGAATAGGATCAAAACAAGGTGGGAAGAGCACATGGGACTATGATGATGACACATGGGTGAATTGGTGGTGGGAAGTCCATCGTGATTACAACCAAGATGAAAAAGCATACACTATACAAAAATGAAGAGTGATATAAAAATATATTTTAAAAATGTATTTTTTTAATTGTATCAGTAGTAAAATGGTGATTGGACTAAAGAATCTGGAGATTTGTTCTTCAGGGGCTACATCTCCCATTATCCTTAAGTAATTTTTCATTTACTACTAACAAAAGCATATATTGAGTTTTAGTTTAGAAATAATTTTTATATGCATAATTTCATTTAAATCTGACAGTGACTCTGAGGTAAAATATTATGAGGAGAATACGATTCCAGATTTACAAATGAGAAAAATGAGCCTTAAAGAAATTGTTTAGCTAATGTCACATCAATATTTAGTAAAACAGGTATAAAATCTAAATAGCCTGCTCCTTTAAGTCTGCTTTTATGGACTAATATGCTGACAGGTCCCAGTATCCTCATTTGCAAGAACAGAATGGTTAGAATACAAGAATTTTATAGTTTGAGCTCAAAAAATTTGATTATAACTGTGCAAGAGTTAGAAAAGGGCATTTTTTTCAAAAGTGAAAAAAATGTTTGCAACTTTTTATAAAACACTTTATAATTTATGGTACACTTGCAGAATCGCTGCTATCTCATTTAATCTTCTCAAAAACCTATTGCTAATCATGAATACTATTCCTTACTAACGAATCACAAAAGGGAAACCACCATAAAAAATATATAGGCGTACAACTCAAGAAAGCATTCTTTTTCAAAAACTCAAGTCTTTGTATCTGTTATTAAATTTTTAACATTTAAATTTAGTGTAGTAACAATGTACACTAGCTTACCTTCAGCACCATCATCTGATCCTCTGAAATTAGGATCTTCTAACATATCCAGTTCAGCTAACATTCACACTCACAGTGCACTCTGTCTGAAGGAGGATAAAATCGTTCATCTTGTAACATCAACTCATATACCTTACTGAAAGAGATCACATTTTTCAGTTATTAATACACTAGTGTCCTAACTGTTTTTTCAAAAAGATTTCACAAAAGCTAGATTGAATTCTTGTCATAAGGATCATTAGACTCCGTATTTGCAAGAAATTTCCTTTGGTCCCTCTAGGAACTAAATTACTCTAAAAAACCCTACTGCCACACACAAGTCATATGACAACAGGTTGTATATAATGATCTAGAAAGTAATGGTCTTTAAGAAAAAAGTCTGCATAAAGGATCAAGGCACATATTAAAAACAATTTGAGTTGTTATTTATATCACATAAACTCATGAAATTCTTGGTCAGATTCAAGTAAGAATTTTCCCCACCTGTAAATTAAACCAATTACTCAATAAGTAAACTGACCTTTTTGGTAATTGAGAAGTAGTATTCCAGTCACTCAAATTTTAAGTTTCAATAAAATTTTAATTAAATTCAATAAAATAACCACTCAAATTTTGTTTCAATAAACTTTAAAAAAAACTAATTATACCCACATAGGAATGTGTATTTATTAAGAAAGATATAATGGTACATATATATAATACCTTTGAATGTCATCAAAGACTTCCGGGCTGCATCTACATGATTTAAAGTACCTACCAATTTTTCTACCAATAGTCATCAACAGGGAGATGACTAACAAACAGAAAGATGAGAGATTTTGCCTTTTATTTTGTAGCCATTTGTGTTATTTGTATTGTTGTTTTTTTAAAGATTTATTTATGCATACAAACCTGGGGTACAGGCCAGAGGTGCAGGGACGGTGAGAGGATTCACCAGATACAGAGTGGGGAACAGAACAGGCAGATTGATGAAGTACACTGCTGAGAGGAGCAGCGGGAGGGTCAGGAAAGGTCTGCCACACCATGTGGGTCACCTCTGGGGCTGGCGGGAATTGAACTCTTGCTGAAGTGGCTTTAGCTTCTCAGTGCTGTGCTTTAACCCGCTGCGCCACCAGGAAGGGCCCTATTTGTGTGTTTTTTTTTTTTTTAATCATGCATGTATTACTTCTTCTGAGGAAGAAAAAATAAAGGCAATAATTTAAGATGTGATTGCTGCATCAGGGTTGTGTGAAGATTTGATCAGTTATTGTACTTGGCACTTAATATTTTTTTAAGAAAGATTTATTTATTTATGCATAGATGTAGGACAGAGGTGCAGGGGAAGGGGTGAAAGTATTCCTGAGAGACAGAGTGGGGAGTAGAACAAGAGGATCCACTGAAATACACTACTAAGGGGAGCAGCTGGTGAATCAGGAGAGGTCTGCTGCACCATGTGGGTCAGCTCCCTGGCCTGGATGGGGATTGAACTCATGCTGTCTGGGGTGGCTCTTCACTGTGACAGCACTGAGACTTAACTGATTGGCCACCCAGGAGGCACTGGGCACTTAGAATTCTAAGTCAGTAAGTCGGGCTTCTCTTCCAAGTAGCAAAGCTATACTAAAAAAACAAAAACAAAACTTGGTTGGATTTATTAGAGAGTAGTAAGCTGTTTGCAATGAGCCAAAACAGGATTACTAGGCAGAGAAGGGGGTCATGTTGGGAGTGAGGGAAATGGGTGAGAGAACTCAGGAAGACACTGTCAATGAACACTCCAGCCTACTGCCTTCTTCCCTCAACTGCTGCCTCAGAGGGAGTGTGAGGGTGAGCGTGAGGCCTGGCCAGGGCTTCCTGAGATGACAAAAATAGTGATATTCAGCCTGGATTTAGGATTATAGTTCCATTGAAACACACAGAGACAATTTGGTACCTAGAGGGATACCTCAGAAAATCCTGCTGGTGGTATATATCTGTGTGCGTGTAGGCTATGAACGCAGAAATAAACACATCTCCAAGGTATTAAAATTCACACTATAAGAAAGTAGTAAAGCTAAGCTCTTCAGCAGATTACAGTGTGAGCAGGCAATAAAACTGGCATGATTTAGGTGCTGCATGGTTCATTAATAAACTCTTAGAATTAAGAAAAAGAGCAGATGCATACAATACATAGCAGGGCTCACTATGCTACACGTCCTCTCCCCAGCCCCACTGCCCTTCAGCTGGGGGGTGGGTGTGAGCTGTGGTGGAGCACCAACATTATCATCAGCCAGCAGAAAAATCAATATGTGCTTTGTTATTGTTAGGCTTCTAGGCCCCTCTGTCTGGGTCTCAGACTCACCATGGGCCCAGAAAGGAGGGCAGGCAGATAGCATTCCTGGTGCCAGCTCCTGGAACTGGCTGAAACTAGACCCTGATATCAGCTCCTGACTCATGACTGAGACAGCTGTTCTTAGAAACCCGTCCTTGAGTGCTGTGAAGTTTGTTACTCTTTGAATTTACACCGGCTATGACGTATGTAACAGTCGATAAGGGCCTATATATTCTCTGACATTCCTATGGTCTGGGTCTTGCTCTCCTTGTGTGGCCTGCGGGCCTGCAGGAAGGCTTGACTCCAGCTAGCTGGCTTAATAAACGCTGCTTGCTTGTGCATCTCTGGTCCTGTTCTTTGTTGCGGGGACAACTGGGTGATTTTGGACCCTAACAGCTACACGCCCTCTCCCCAGCCCCACTGCCCTTCAGCTGGGGGCTGAGTGTGAGCTGTGGTGGGGCACCAACATTATCATCATCCAGCAGAAAAATCAATCTGTGCTTTGTCATTAACAAATTTTATTTATTTAAAATAATTGTATGGAGTGTTTCCTAAGCATCTTGCTGCTGCTGGGAAGAAGTGCTGACTGACCTGGCAGGGAGACTGACCTGGACTGTCCTGTGGAAGTCTTTTGCTAAGCTTCAGGACACATTCCTTGATACGGAGTTTGTTTTGGAGATTCAGGTCTATGCCTCTTAGTTTTAACACAGAAAGTATTCACTGTGGTCATTGACCATTCTAAGATCTGGCAAACAAACGTGAGTAAGAGCCCTCTCCAGGGCTATGGGACCCCTAGCTTATTAGCTCCAACTGCCGCTTCTCCCTAACTGTCGCTCAGAACTTTGCTTCTCAGTCAAAGTGCCTGTCTGTCCTTTGGATGACTGCTGGCTTAGGAGTCAGGAGGCTTTTTGAGGGCCAAGTGAAAGCCTCATTTTGTGATTCAGGCAGCAGTCAAATGTAATTTCATGACAAAAATTCATCATCTGCTTTTGTCTTTCATTTGTTTGGCATTGAAAATCTTGCTGCCTCTTGGCCTTTTTGTTTTGCAGAACAGCGGGGGACAAAACCAGTTTGGTTATCTGAGCATCTTTCATACCTCTCAGCTGTGTGCGAAGAGAAGACTGATTTCCCTAAGGGAGCTCCAGACTTCATCAAAAAGAGAAATCTTTCTTTAACTTCAAAATGTAAATCTTTTTAAAGATACATAAGTAGTAAATGCTTATATAGAGTCATACAATTTGGAGGACATCCTTCAGTTCTGGTTTGTTAGAGATAATCATATTAACAGTATGTAGTATATATCTTTCCAGTCTTTGGAAATATTAACATCATCTTACTGTTATTGCCTAACCTGACTTATTAAATTGTGAACATTTTTTCTGTAAACTTACCACATCAGTTCATATGTATCTGCCTTTTCCTGCCAAAATTAATTTAACCATTCTCTCTTGTTAGATATTTAGATAATATTTTACACACATAATATTTAGATTTTTTTTTTTGCAGTTAGCAAATAATGAATGATGCAATGCTTTTCCTTATTCTTGTATTTTTACTTGTGTGGCTATTTTATGGGGTAAATTTCTAAAAATGTAACTCATGGGTTTGAAGTAATGCACATTTTGAATTTTGATAGTTATGCCAAATTACTCACCAAACAATGTCTACCTACCTACCAACTCCTGTGAGATTCTCAGGGTTGACTTAGCCACTGGGCAGAGAGGCTCCATTGCTTAGGGGCCAGGATAGTTTTAGGGGTCTTGAAAACATTTTCATTTCTTTTAAAACTAGGAGGAAAAATGAGTAAATAATGTTAATGAATATGTATTATCCAATTAACACATTTTATACTAATGCAGCCAGATTTCTTTATGGTGAGGGGACCCCTGACAGCAAATGTGTGGGGCTCCAAAAATCATGTGTACCTGGTTCACCCATTTCTCTACATTCTTGCAACTCTGAGAATTATCATTTTCTTTTTTGTGCATTTTTTTCATCTCAGTTGTAACCCCCGTGGGCTTCCCATCACCAAATCACTCTGTGCCATCACCATAGTATTTGTGGATTTAGCTTTTTTTTTTTTCAAAAAAAAGATTTATTTATTTATGCATACAGAACTAGGGTACAGATCAGAGGTGCAGGGGCAATGAGAGGATTCACCAGAGACAGAGTGGGGAGCAGAACAGGCAGATTGATGAGGTACACTGCTGAGAGGAGAGGTCTGCTGTGCTATGTGGGGCTTGTGATTGAACTCACAACCTAGTGGCTGTGGCTGGCTGGCAGTGCTGCATCCTCACCCCTTGGGCCACCAGGGAAGGCCCTGGATTTAGCTTTAAGATGTCTTGACTTTTTATATTTCTGATAAATTACTACTTCCCCCATAATCTTTTTCTTTCAATAGATATCTTGATTTCTCAGGTATTTACTCTTTCTCATGAACTTCAGAGTTACATTTTCAAGCACTCAAACAAATCCTAGCGAAATTTTTAAAAAAGATATATATTCATGCATACAGAACTGGGTACAGGCCAGAGGTGCAGGAGTGGAGCAGAGACAGTGGGGAGTAGAGCAGGCTTACTGACAAAGCACACTGCTGAGAGGGAGAGTGGATGGGTCAGGAAAGGTCTGCTGCACCATGTGGTCACTTCCAGGCTGGGATAGAACTCATGCAGAAGTGACTTTAGCTTCTTAGTGCTGTGCTTTTTAGTCTGCTGTGCCATCAGGGAGGGCATTTTTTAATGGTTAGTGATTGAGGAAAAAGGACATACTCACGAAAATGACTGCTTCTCTAAGTGCACACTATTTTGTTCAGTCTTTCTATTTATGCCATTCCTGGTTGGTCTTCAGTTTGAGTCTTTGCCATCTCTGCAATCTTCTTCTAAAACTCTTGCTTGACTCTTTTTGTGGGATAGTAGGCCAGCAGCAGGGGTTTTCCTGAGTCTTCATGTCCCCATGAAGTTAAGACCCTCACCATGGGCATCTCTGTTTTAGCCATTTTGGATCCATTTATTACTAGTTTTCTAAGAACTGTACTCCTCTGTAAAGTACTGTGACAAAGGCCATTACCATCTCTCTTTGCTTCCATTTTTGTTTACTTTGCCCCCCCCCTTTTTTTAAAGATTTATTTTATTTATTTATGCATACAAGAACTGGGTCACAGGCCAGAGGTGTGGGGTAAGGGTGAGAGGATTTACCAGAGAAGAGTGGGGAATGGAACAGGTGCATTGACTGAAGTACACTGCCAGGGGAGCAGTGGACAAGACAGGAGAGGTCTGCTGTACCATGTGGGTCAGCTCCCTGGCCAGGGATTGAACTCAGTGCTGCAGTGACTGTGATAGCTTCATAGTGCTGTGCTTTAACCCATTGTACCACCAGGGAAAGCCCTGATTCAACAGACATTTTCTAACCATTGATTTGGTAAGTTCCGAGCCAAGGGAGTTAAAGTTAAGAAAAGCTATCAGAATTTTACAGAGCATATTAAAGTTGGAGTGGTATGATCATAAAGGACGCAAATAACAATTTTTCCCTTCCAGGAAAATGGACTTGGAAATAGGACAACCAATAGACTTTGGCTCTGGAGATCATCAACATTTGGTTCGGAAAGCAGCAGATCATAACCCCCAGAGCAAAACCCCTCAGTCCTACAAAACTTCACCTTCACCTGAGCCAAAAAATCCTCATGAGAATCTACACACAAAGGCCAGTGAGCGAGCAAATGTTTATGTGATACAAATTTCAGAGGATACTACTCCAGAAGACAGCAGTAGCCATCCATTCTCAAACTCAGCTGTCCGCAGAGGTGAGAATGATTTCCACAGATTTTTCTACAGGAACATTTTTCTTTCACTTTTTACCAATTAGGAATTTCCATGGCACATGATGCAGGGCTGCTGTGGTAAAAAGCTCCCAGGTTGTCCAGGGCATGCAGAAATTCATAATAAACACATTTGGCAAATAACTGACCTTTATTCCCCAGGTCCTCCACTTCTGCTGAGCTTCCTTTCACCACTGCTGTAGTTGTCCCTATGGTTTTCATAGCAAATATGAATTAGCCATTGATTGTAGAATGTTCTTACCTATATTCAAGGTGATACCATAATTCTGACTTAATATTAATTCAGCAATCTAGATATTATGTCTGGGTAGTTAGCAAATACTTGCAGCTGTAAATAACAGAAACCTGAAATCTTTGGCTTAAGGGAAAAGATATGTGTTCCTCTCCCACCCCCGAGGGGCTTTCCTAGAACTTCCAATTACATGCCATGGACCCATGTGGTCTGGCCACTTCCACCTGTAGCTTTCCAGTTGGTCCCATGCCACTTTAACAAACTTTGGGCTGGGTAGTGAGGGCACTAGATACCTCTGCCAATAGGTGCCAACACTTCTTCCCTGGGCAAAGGGAAAATTATTGCATTTAGTCCTTACAGCACTCCATAAATAAATTGTGGTCCTGTTTTACAGCTGAGAAAATGAGGTTTAAGGGGTTTATAATGAGAAGAACATGTGAAACTGCCTCACTTCTGTTAATAGTTATCTGAATCTCTCCCTCTCAGAGAACAGAGGCCCCTCCTCGCTTTCTAAAAAGGATAAAAGTGCTATGGAGGAAAAAAATAGTTCAGTCCCATTTCTTATCACTCTTCCTCAGCACAGTAACCACCCAGCAAAAGCAAACAATTGATGATTCTATAAGTCAACTTGAAGCAATATTATTTCTTTCCCACTTGAGAATGGGACAAAGCCACAAAGAATAGTCATTACCAGCACCACTGTCACAGGGTCCCAAGAAAAACTAGGCAATAGGAAGTAGGCACAACAACATGCCAACATACTCTGCACTCTGCTTTAGCAAACCATTTTCTTGCAACTCCTTGGTCTTATAATTCACCAAGTTAACTTGTTTTCTGCGCAAGTAGAAGGGAAGGAGATTGCTAAAAGTAGGTGGGTCTGAAAGTGATGGAAATGTTCATAATTCCTGCAGGTCAAGTCCATTGCCGGAGGAATGAACAACCTCTTCATGAGCAGTTCCTGGGGCACCGCAGGGGCATAGCTGGATCCCTAAAAATGGGCCTGTGACACTCCCTGACTTTCAGGTCACTTTTGTTCCTAAAGAGGGTGGGCTATGTCTAAGGAATGAAACCCCTGAGTTTGTCTTTAAAATTTGAGGCTTCCGTGAATAAGCACTCAATTCTCCGCATAAAATGCCTAGCATGCCTGTTCCAAAAGTTCTGCAGGGCTGTGATTTTTGCTATGACACCATTTTACTCCTTTTTTCATCCTCAAGAAAATCAGAAGAAAAGTTTCTCCCATCAAGTATCAAAATTAGGTAATTACATGTATAGTTTTACTTTTGAATATTATGTCCTCAAAATGTTTATGCTTCTTCAGATTTCATTGTGAAAGTGTTCCTCATCCTGTCAGCCCAGTTGATGGTCACTGGAACAATCACAAGCACGTTTATTTTCTGGTAAGTTTTACTATAGACATAAATTAAATATTGAGCTGTTCACATTATTTCTTATTTAATCAACTTTTTGATGACTAAAATAATCTATTTTACTTAATGATTCATAGAATGTAAGATTGCTGTATTTGGCTTTTCTGAGGCAATGCCTACAGATATTGGTGATTTCTAGAATTTTCCTTCAATTTCCCAAGCCAAGAAATTTTCTTGCTTGTATTTTGGGCACTGTTTCTTTTTTTATATTTCCTTGAGCTATTTCCACAGATAAAACTGAATTAAGGGGGAAAGGTGAGATTAGAGAGATTTTCGAGGCTGGTTTACTGTTAAATTATTCAGGGGCTATTGGCCATTTCTGTTTTAAAAACATCCAATGAAAATTTCTATCAACATAACATATGAGAAGTTTGATGTCTTTTTTTTGTACATATATCAATCTTGTGTTTTTTAAAAAAACTTGTTTTTTAAAATTCATTGGGATATTTGTATTTATGTAAACATGACTAACAACTTATTATAACTATATTTTAATGAATATTTTATGAAGTAAGATCTTGTTACATGTTTTTTTTTTTTAAGATTTATTTATTATTTATTCGTACAGAACTGGGGTACAGGCCAGAGATGCGGAGGGTGAGAGGATTCACCAGAGACAGAGTGGGGTACAGAACAGGCAGATGGAT